CCCTCAAGACATGGCTATTTAAGCTGGCAGGACTGGCCTAAGGGTTATTTTTAACATGGTTTTATAATAATTTTTATAAAAAAATAATAAAGGCCTTATAATAATATTTCATTTTAAATTAACATTTTAACTTTAGTATTATTATATTTATGTATTTGTTTTTAAAAGGCTGTAAGCCGCCCTGAGTCTGTAGGGAGAAGGGCGGGGTAGAAATATAAATAATAAATAAATAAATAAATAAATAAATAAATAAATAAAAGTGACTAAAAACTGCTAAGTCATTGATTGTCCTTACCACCCATCTATAAACGTTTCCATATATTTTATTGTTTCCTCTTATATTTCATTCTATTTGTTTACCCCCTCTGTCATAGAGGAGTCATGTGTTTTAACTTTATAAACAATCCTAGTTCTTCAAGATGTAGACAAGTGTTTGAAAGCTTTTTTTTATGAGGGATAAGTGGGAGGGGAAGGAAAAAGGAAATTCCATCATATCAATAACCCAGTATTTCAATTGTAAACAAAGATGGATATGTTATAAAAGAAAAATTAAACTATATCCATCTAAAAAGAGGAATTTCTTTGTAGAACTGAGAGATGTATGAAGAACAAGAGAAGCTTATGAAGGTCATACTAGTTTCTTGAATTGTTGCAGCACAATTTACCAACTAGCTTCAAATCATAATGATTGTCAACCATTTCTCATCAACGTGGTGATGTACTAAATGTGATTTTGTAAGATTCAACCCCAGGCATAATATTCTTCAACATTTTCAATTAATGACATTGATATGGAAGGAATATTTAATGGAGTTACAGATCAAACAATCATTAGAGAGATAGAATGAAATGTCTTCTAATTTCTTCAGTGAACATCTACAATCTTCTGCATGGCTTCAACAACATTCTTTGTCATGAATTATTGATCTGTGCTCCTGAAATTACAACATGTAATCAAAAGATGTAATACATAATACAGAAATTCTTTTCAAATTATACTGCTATATGTACAAATGAGTCACAAATATAATTATCTATACCAGAGGTCCATTGAACCGGTCCCTGATGCCTAAAAGATTGGGGACCTCTGAACTATACTTTACAAATTAGAATTATATATTTAATATAAAAATGCAACAGATTTTACAGTCATGTGAAAAAGCAAGAACATCCCATATAAGCTTTCTTTTATAACATATGTGGACAAATCATTATTTAATATTCATTCAAACAGTATATAAGTAGTCCTCATTTAGTGAATATTGCCAGAAACTGTCATTAAATAAAGTGGCAGCTATATGAAATTTCAACTGTACTTATGAATCTTACTTCAGCTTCCCTTTGCTTTACAGAACAAAAAGGGTCATAAATATGAGTATTGGTCATAGTTGTTTTTCATCACCATTGAAAATGTGAACATTTGTTAAATATGGCAGTTGCTAAACAAGGATTGCCTGCATAAAGATGCATGTAATGTAATTAAATAAAATACATATACATATAATGTATTTAATGCAATTAAATAAAAAAACAATCTTCTCATTATCAGTAGAGGCTTCCTTTGAAATTCATGCATCCTTAGAGAGAAAGGGAAAAAAATAAGCCAAACTTCCTGTGCACAATTTTCTTGACTATAACATTGTTCTGGGTTTCCTGCATTATTACTTATATGTAAAAAGTGTGAGAAAGACTGGGAAAATGCATTTTGCCTTAAAATGTCCCAGGAAAGGGAAGAGAGATGGAGATCATTGTTAGGAGAACTATACAGTATTAAGCTGACAACCCCACCCCACCCCGTGAGGTTTGGAATTATATTTTTTAAAAAGGTTCAGATACCCCAATACTTTACCTCTCGAGCAATTAGGAGGTACTCCTACTGAATTAGGAGCAATTATGCAATTATTTATATGTATGCAACTTATTACTTTATATTTAAATAATTATCGTGAAGAATAATAGCTTTTTCTGGCTGTCTAAAAATACATAGAAAACTTTAGAAATAGAAACTTTACACTGGAAAAAACTTGATTACTTTTTCACCCTCAGAAAAACAAATTCAGCTTAATTTCTTTAAGCAAAGGACAGAACTGTTAAAGAACTAGCTCCTCTCTAAAACCAGTTATTGAGACAAGTTAAATCCACTATGCATTTAACCAAATTGCTTTACCAAAAAGGAACAACCAATGAGCCTTCAAGAAATAAAAGTGGGAGCAGCTCCTATAGCAATGTCATTGTTAGGCACCGACTTAAAATACCGTAAATTCCACTGAACTGATTGATAGCTAAATATGCTGAAAATGTAATATAAAAATGTTTCTGCCTCCGCAGTAAAGGATATAAATGAGTTTATACTACCTGAAGTCGTGACTTTCACATATCCCACAGTTCCATTTACAGATCTTTGGCATATTTCGTTTACCTTCAGTATATTTGAAGCGCACCACACCTTAAACCAGTCGGACTCGTTAGCGGGACTTTCCATGTGACTTATACAGGGTAGATCTTCGATTAAGAGTGCCAAAATTTTGTACGGTTCAGAAATGTATTCCCACTTGCATACACAGTCAGGAAAGTGAGTTATTTAACAACCGCTCCGCTTTCCCTTTGTCCTGAAAGGAAATCCGGAATCTCTCATCTTTTTAAAAGTCCCGTCTGTCAATCATCGCTGCGGTCTCAAGGCCGAAGTTAGGAGCGACTTGAGCAAAGTTTTCATTCCCCTCCCACGTCTTACTTTTTCCTTCCGAGGGAGCCTCCCTAGCCCGCCGGCTTGTCCGGGAAATCCGCACGGCTTCCAAGTGGGCATCCCGAAGCAGCAGCCTCAGTAGCAGAAGGGGCGTAGTGGAACCGGACGGGGGGGGCGGTGAGTTCTCGGCCGAGCGAGGGAGCGAAAGAAGATGGCGGGGCGGACGCTGGCGGCATGGGAGCCGACGAGACTGCGAAATTAAGCCGCTAGGGGAGGCCACTCGCGGAGACAGGCAGGCAGGCAGGCAGGAAGGGCGGGAATCTTGCGGTGGCTGCTGCTTCCCCTGCTTCCTCGGACGGGACCAGGGCCGCTTTGAAGGGACAGCTGAGGCGGCGGCTGTGCTGGTTCCGGGGCCCGGCCGGGGTGGAGGCGGGAGGGTGAGAGAATGGTGAATCCGGAGCGGCGGCGGTGGTGCTGCTGCAGCCGGAGCCGACTGGTTGTGGCCTCACGCGGCTGGGCTGCTCGTTAGTCAGGCCTGGAGGAGCCGGCAGCGCAGAGCATTCGGAGCCCCGCGGTCGAAGAGTGGCTGCTGGAGAGAGAGCGCTTGCCGCCGAGGCTGCGGCCCCGGAGCGTCGGCGGAGCCATGCCGTGGCTCAGCGGAGGACGGAGACGGCGGCGGCAGCAACAGCAGCAGCAGCAACAGGCGGCGGCGCCCGGAGGACCCGGGAAGGGGCCGCCTCCTGTCGTGCCATCTGCGGTGATCGGAGGTGGCAGCGGGCCGCGGGGCCGAGAGAGCTCGGAATTGCCTTTACCCGCTGGTTGGGAGGAGGCGAGGGACTACGACGGACGCGTCTTTTACATCGACCACAACACCCGGCAGACTTCGTGGATCGACCCCAGGGACAGGTCAGAAAGGCTGGGGATAAGGCCTCCCCCTTGAAGCCGAAGCCATTGGCGTCCTTGGCGTCCATTCTTCTCTCCCCCCTCCCTTTCCTTCCTGGAGCCCCGAGTCCTGACCCTGCCCTCGATTAACACAACAGGGCCTGTGATATTTGGTAGGTAGGAAGGAAAGGTTCCAGCATCTCGGGCCTGGAGTCTGATATCCCCGCTTTGCCTTCTCGAAAGGGCCTGAATTCCTGTTTTAAGTTGAGAAAGGAGAGATGGGGCAGGCTGTCAGATAAATTAACTTTAGAAATAGATTTCTTTTAAAGCCTAGATTATTCTTGTACGGTCATTTCCGCAAGCTTTGTAGGACGAACATCCCCAATTCCTGGATATGAAAACTCCATTTTGTTCTCCATCGTTCTCTTTAACCTGAATGAGATGGCCAGTTCATTATTCAAAGTTAGTACAACAAAATTTGCTTTTAAGCTGCAGTTTTAATAGATCTGAAATAAGATCAGATATGTCCATGTATTGCTTTCTGCATCTCTTGATTTTGCTGACTAGAAAGTAGTCCTGCCTTTGTTATAAGTATCCCAGTGACATTGACAATGTATTGCTTTATATAGTAGAAAGATTTCTCTCCCGTGTATTTATTGGAAAATATTTTTAAAAGATCCATGTCAAATATTGTAAACTTGACATGAAATCTGAAATATTAAATAATTCTAAGTGTTCTCTTAAAGCTTTTAGACATGCATTAAAATTTGTACTAGCCACGTATCTTTATGAGCTTAAGTCTGTGTACTTTATCCCTGCAGAATTATTGTAATAATCAAGATGATATCTGAGATAATATAGCAAATTGCTTATGGGAAATTTTATTTATTAAACTTTAAACAAATTAATGTACAAACCACCTGTTCAGGCAGTAATTCTGTCCATACACAAAAAAAGAGTTGGTTCAGTTAAATGTACCTGTAAATTTAAGTACCGTTTCATTTGTAGCTACGACTTTTGTAACCAGGACTATCTTATCAATGACAAAGCACATTTTCTTTTTATTTGTTAACTTTTCATTTATTGGCTTTGGATGTCAAAAAGCTGTATATTTTTTTAAGAGCCACTGAACAATACTGAATATGAATCTAGCTGCAAGTGACAGTTTGGTGTGGTGATTAAGGCATCAAACTAGAAACTGGGAGATTGTGAGTGAGGCACAGGTCAGATGGGTTATCTTGAGCCAATCTTTTTCTCTCAGCCTTGAGGAGGAGGCAATGGCAAAACACTTGTAAAAAATCTTGTCAAGAAAACTGCAGGAACTTGTCCAGGCAGTCTCTGAGAATTTGACACAACTTGAGCAGAAGAAAAAAAAAGGAAGCTGCACAGCAGCTTTGTTTTTCTAATTAATTATAATTGCTTGGATTTCCACGTGTAATTACACAGAGTATTTTAGTATTAATAGGACAATGTTATATTAACATGTTCCACATATATTAAGGAAATACTACATAAATTACTTTACAATTTTAACATTACCATTACAGTGGTGAAATTATCCATTATATTTATAGTTTTTCATACTAATCTTGAAAATGCAAATGCAATTAATAATAATGGTTAGAAAACTTGCTGGTAAGTCATAGATGATTTTTTAAAGGTTCAGGAGCATATCTTTTGTGTTAAATATTTGTTTTTCAGTAGTGATTTTGGAGAATGTCCCTAGCTGTCACTAGGAATTCTAAGTGGTTTAGGGTGTCTATGGAGATTCTCAGTCATCCAGCTCATGGTTGTTCCAAAGGTGCTTTTTCGAGAGGCAACTGGACTTTCTTGCTTTTCTTTGAAGACATTTAGCTTCTCATCCAAGAAGCTTCTCATCTTGAAGAAGCTTTTTGGATGAGAAGCGAAAAGTCTTCAAAGAAAAGTAAGTCCAGTTGCCTCTTGAAAAAGCACCTTTGGGATATTACAGTGTAGAGATGAAGTTATAGTTCCTGAAAAGGAAGGCACGGGAATATCTAATGTGCTTTCAGGGACCATTTGAAATTGACAATCAGCTAAGATTGCATAGGGACATTTAATACACAAATCTTTTTTGGAAAGGCTTTGTAAGGTTTTATTATGGTTGTATTCTGCTCCAGGCTGGTGTTCTTTATGTCTGGTTGAAAATCCTAAGAACTATAATCCTAGTATCTATAAATGACACTAGACTGAGAAAAGCTGTAACTTCTTCACATTACCATTGGGTTAATATTAAGCTTGGCTAGATATTCCTGGCTTCAGTCTCCTTTTTTTCAATCAGTAGGAACAACCTGTTGTTTCTGATGCACACCAGGATTGAAAAACAGCTGGTGCCTAGGATTTAACAGCAGTCCAAAGTCTATAGTTACTACAATGGTCCTTGGCAGATTCTAAATCCTACAGTAAACATGTAGTATATGCCAAGAATGTGATTAGGATAAGGGTTTTTTAAAGGAAATTGTGTATGCCATTTCTACGCCTAATCTACATTCTGGATTTATATCAATATGTTTGGCTGCTAAGCCAATAATTTAGAGGTGGCAAAATTTGATTGCTGGGTTGAGAATGGGCATGGGATTTGATATTTAGCAGCTTGGATTCATCTCTCTGTATCTTTTAAAAGTTGGGAAATCAGGACTACTACTTTAAGATTATTTTTGTGCAAGTGACTGATGTTACTAAAAGATATAACTGTTTAATGTATTAAGAAAACAAACATTTGTCAATATTATGTGGTTTTGTGAAAGAAGAAATAACTATTTGTTCTCATATACTGAACTATGCATTCAAGACTACTATACATAATTTGTGTATTAGCCACAGGTACCTGGCAAAAAATAATTTTGCAGTGTTAAGTAATTGCTAAAAACTTTTATTGTGCGTTTGTTAAAGGAAGCAAAATTATAAAATTCCTGTTTTGATACTTTAATGAAAGAGTAAGGCTAGCTAATTTCCAATAATGTTAATATTTCAAAACAAGTCTTTTCATAATATTTTTGTGTCTACTACGTAATTAAGTTTCATTTATTTTTGCTATATTGAAAATATAACATTAGTTTAAGTATGCCTAAGAATTGAAATAAAAAATTTATTTTGAATAGTAGTGTTAGTAGAGGTCTATAGTATCAAAAATATGTTGCAGTGTGACATAGGGGACAGTTGCATAGTTGTTTGATTTCTCCCAGATATCAGATTTCAACAAAGTATTTGTAAATATTCTATTTTTCAAAGAGACAAATATATAACAATTTCAGAAACTATTTATAGATTTGGAATATTGTATACCTTAAAAATTGTGACGATTAAATACTAGAAAACCTAAAATCAACTAGAAAACCTAAAAATTATAGGTGGCAATCCTTTTTTTTTAAACCCCATACGTTGTATTTTAAAATAAAAATTACTTGAAAAGCTTGCTAAACTTAATGACACATATGCAAAATAAAAATGAATACATTTTACAGGTAAGCAATAAGAAATACATTTGACATTGATAGAACTTTAGTTAAGAGAAAAAGTAATCTTGCATAAGAGTCTTCTGTATTCAGAACATTTCTGCAAAGAAGCCTCTGACATATTGCTGCTAATTGTGCATAAAAAAGTAAGAACTGAAAGAGCCGTTGATTTGAAGTGGGTGCATGTATTTGGGCCACACCTGGTTTTGCTGTATTAAATAGATTTTTTTGCTCTATTTCCGTTATAGATGAGGTGAAGGCATCTATGTTAAAGACACCTGCCTTGATTAATTGGAAATCATCAACTTTCTTTGAAGCATTTGTGTGTGTATTTTGAAGCTTATCTTTGCTACTACAAGGTATAGAAAAGAATAAGTTTATCAAAATGTTTACTTGTGTAAACAAAATAAATTTCCTTTTTTGGCAAAGATGTCTACAGGTAGTTCTTGACTTATGACCATAATTGAGCCCAAAATTTATGTTGCTGAGCGAGACATTTGTTAAGTGAATTTTGCCCCATTTTATGATCTTTCTTGCCACAGTTGTTAAGTGAATCATTGTAATTGTTAAATTAGTAGCACAGTTGTTTAGTGAATCTGGCTTCCCCATTGACTGCTTGTCATAAAAGGTGATCACATGAGCCCATGATACTGCAAAGGTCATAAATTTGAGTCAGTTGCCAAGTTTTGAATTTTGATTACATGATCATGGGGATATTGCAATGGTGATAAGTGTGAAAAATGGTCATAAGTCACTTTTTTCAGTAAGTTTGTAAGTTTGAACGGTCACTAAATGAACTGTT